CCAATTGAAGACCATGTAGTAAGGAATGTTAATAGTGAAGAAGAAAATGTGGACCATCAAATAAATTTTAAGATGACTATCAAGAAATAAATGTTAATATTGGAGAATAAAATGCAGACTTTGATCATCAAAGAAATTTTCAAGATGATTATCAAGGAATAAATGATAATAATGCACAGGAAGACATCATCCAACATGCTCAACAAACTCTTGTGATAAAAATATGGAGGAGGGTGAAGAAGGTCTCTATGATGTAGATATGAATGTATCAAATATCTACACTCGTCTAAAGAATAACCCAAGAAAAAAGATTCCTAAAGAAGATCCTGAGATGATGTATTATGGAAAAAGCAAAAAGACTTAATCAGGTAAACATACATTAGGTTGTACTACACATTATTTAGATTAATGATTGTCAAATGATAAAAATATTTAAAAATCAACTTTTTTCAGTCATGTAAAAGCAATATATTTTTTTCTTTTGTTAGAAGTCTTCTCTCTATAATCTAATGTTTTGCATGGTATGTTTTCAAAGGAATTTTAATGCTAGTGTCTTTTAAGATATAAGGTGAAATTGGGGCGAGTTGGAGCTCGAAAGCAACATACCACACCAGCACACCGTGGTACAACGACGAAAATCTTTAAGGTTAGCATTTATTTGGAAAATCCTTATAATTAGTGATTTTAGCAATGAATAGACCATCTCTGGTAAAGGTGAGGTTACATTGAATAGGAGCACAATAAAATTTATATGTTGAAATGGTCCTAGGATTATTATAGGAAAAGGAAAGGGTTAGAAGTGTAACAGATTAGTTGGTTCTGTTATTCTTTTCTATTATCTGGTTTACTGTAATTCCAGTAAATAGGTTTTTTTTGCAAAGGAGGAAATTTTTGAATTGAATTTACTGGTCATATTCCAATGTAAAAAGAAGAAAGCACCTATGGAAGTATACCTTGAATATCTTGGAGCTAAGGTGATTCTTAAACCTTTACTGGTCTGTTGGTGAAGGAAAGACAGTTAGGCAGTCAAAAGTAGATGTTAGTGTGAAGGTAATGTTGCTGCTATGTTGGAGTCTTTAAACCTTTAATGGTCTGTGTTTAATTTTTTTTGGGGAGTGAGGTTGGCTTTCATTTATGCTTTGATGTGTTGCGAATAGTCATAAGGGTAATGGATCGCAATTCAAAGCCATGATAGTAATGTTGTAGAATTTTTTTTTTCTAAGAATTATTGTGACCCAGTTTTTCTATGAAACAAGACAAACTCTATGACCCAGTTTTCCTTTTATTATCCCTTTTCCTCTTCTGTTTCTTTTTCTACCACTTTTTTCTTTCTCTTAATCTTATCTTAATTAACATCAACTACTTTCTAATCTCATACAGTATTTAGTAGTTTTCGATTCAAAGCAAGGAACCAAGAGTGTTTCTCCTGATCTTTCTGGTTCTCAATTTATATTTTTTAGATTATGCTTTAGTGACTTTTGTTTGCCAATTCGCTGCAGGATATGGTAAAAAACAATGATCAATAAGCATTCACTCATGCCAACTAGGCAATCCGCAACTGGCCCAGAACAAGGTCTATCTTCTTTTATGTGTAGCGGTTTAACTTTCGAGCAATTCCGTAACATTTAAGAATTAGTACAAACGACCACTGCGAAAGATCTTCATTCTTTTGTGGATCAAGCATTGTAGTTATAGTAGACAACAATGGAAACAAGGACCACTATTGACAGATTTATAGAACATTAATAAGTTGTTTCTCCTTACTAATTTGAGTTTGCTTTTTCCTGCTTTGTGCTTTCATTTCTGGTTATTTACTTATTTTGGGTCAGTGCATTTAGTCCTTAGGGACCACGTGTCTGTTGCATTGTAGCCAAGACTTGACAGAAGCATTTTTCATTCAAGTTTCAGTCGATATGTAGAAGCTCCATGTCTGGTTTTCAAAATGGTTTCTTAAAATAGAAGTGGAGATTACAACCTATTCTCTTTAGCACATGGTTAAAATAAACTACAGTATAATGTACCAATGAAAAGATGAAACATAGATAAGTATATGCACGGTTATGAGGTGTATAACAATTATATTAGCAGTGATGGAACTGAAAAGTTGTTACTGACTACAGTGAAGGATTATTTCGTAAAGCAAAATTTCATTAATTTTTGTTTCTCTTTTCCTTAAACAATGGTCAGATACTACTTTTACTTTATACATAGCTCTAAAGCGGTGGGTCAACGAGAGTATCTAAGTAATTGACCGTGTTCTTAGAACAAGATTTTATTATTCCCTCACAGATTCTTTATTCTTCATAGGGTGGTGAAACATGGGAACTATCTTGTTTATTGCAAGCATAAATTTGTAAAATATAAATAGAAAAAAAAGGAGGGTAAGAGATAAGAGTGTATTGATTGGAAGATATTTCTCTAGAATTGGGGATTGTTCATTTCTCTAGAATTTTCTTTTAGTTATAGTTTAGTAGAATAGTTAAATTCTGCAGTTTTAATTTTAAATAACTAGAAAGATATAGTTGTAGATTAGTTCAGTGAATTTGAGTTTGTTTAAATAAAGATTAGAGTTGGTTAGAAGTAGGAAGTTTATTTTTAGATTGTTCTATTTTACTACAGTACTTTTAGGCTATTGTAAGGGCATTTTTAGATTTTGGTTTTATAATTCTAGAGAGTAGATAATTTTGGGAATGTTTTCTAATGTTAAATTTAGGTTTGTTATCATAGTTTTGATAATGTTTTGGTAGTTTTAGCATTAGGATATAGGTTTAGGACAGTTTTAAAATTTTCGGCATACTAGAATATCATAAGTGAGTCCCATTTTGTTTCCTTATTCTACCAACAAACAAATGTCCATACTTAATGAATTCTGGAATTCTTCCCGCGATTGTCCATAATGGTAACTGTGCCACTGCTTCTTTCCTCCCAAGTGAAACTATTGCAATTGCTGAATGTGGCTTGTAAGTTTCCATCCTACATTATTTTGCTCCCTGTATTATCACCTTCAGGTTGTTCACAACAACTTCAGCCTGCTGCTGTTCCAAAAACCCTTGCTTGATTTCATGTCGTATGGAGTTCCATTAAAAATCCTCTTATTAGGTGTCTTGTAAGAAGATTAAAAAACCTCTTATTTGGTGGCTTGTAAGAAGATTAAAATGCTAGTATATATTTGACATTTTGGCCTGATTCTACTAATTTAAAAGTAAATGTACTTAACATTAGTGTATTGTTAAATGTACTTAACATTAAAATGCTAGTATATATTTCATGGTCTCATCATTGAAAGATTCTGATTACCGCAGGTGTCTCATATGTCTGCAACAAGTGAATCAAGAGTACTACCTTGTTAAGAATAAGCTTAAAACACTGGTCAGGGTATTAAATAGATGAAAAACTTAAAAAACTTTTTTATTTACATGCTGGATTTGTAATTAATATTTATTTTATGGATTCTTGATGCAGCTTGAGCAACAGATTGTGGCAGTTGGTGGGTCAATCCCTACGGAATATACTTCCCCTCTTGAGGCCTAATCATCACAACTACCTAGATTACATACTGGACCCTTCATATGTGCAATGCTCATACAGAATGAAATAGTAGTATGCTTGTTAATCTTCCAACTTCACAACACTGACACGAAGTACATTATATTAATTCATTGTTTAGCACTTTACCAATGAAAATGGATGAAAAATTTATTTCTCACATTGTTATCCCATTTTATTTTTATGTATTTATTGCTTGATCATTTAATTCAGTCCCCGTAATTGAAACACAGCTTCGATTTCTAAACAACATTAAATTTCAGTTTTAACAAAAATTAAATTTAATAAAATCATAGATCCTTAGTAATTCCAAAGCTAAGAAATATCGAAATCTTAGTCACAAATAAAAACCGTATCAAACATAATTTTGACCTGTATTAATCACTACTAAGTCAATTGTTTTTGATATATTTTAATAATGAAAAATTGGAACTGCGGCAGATTGAGTTCTCACTTTGACTGCTTTAAGTGTTTCGAGTAAACTGTGCTTATGTTTTTATCTATTTTTAAATAAAAAACAATCGATTTAGTTGTAATTAATACATCTCATATTATTGGTTAATACAGTGCATAAGAAAAAAATAGTAATTGTAAACAAGATTTTGCTTTGTTATAAATAGTTTGTCCTAAGAAAGAAGTGATTTTAGTTGGTACAACAATATTGTTGATGTTTTATCGGTAACATCTTTAAATACTATAAATATGTTTTCGTTTTTTATTTATTAGAACTGATGATGAAGTGGTCATTATACAAGACGATATTAATCATACCAACAAGAAAGACCGTAAGACTTTCTAAGAAAAGATACTGAGGTGTTTTAAGCAATTTCTTCTACGAAAAATAATTTTTTAACACCCTAAATTTTTTTAAATTCATTTCACAATATTCTTTCTTATTTTTTACTTTCTTTTTTCTTGAAAAAATACAAAAGTTTACACACTATTTTACCCAGTGTCAAATGATTATAAAAGTGTGTTATAATAGTATTAATATTTCTTCCAGGTAGTGTCATACATTCCAACTTAACTACAACTTAACTACAACTTAACTACAACTTAACTACAACTTAACTACAACTTAACTACAACTTAACTACTTCTTAGACACTTAAAAAGAAGAAATATCACCGGGTCTGCATCCATCCTCTTCCCTATAATCTGGATTCTCCATCAAAACTACAAAACCTTCAAGAATTGGCGATAGAGGAAGGTATCTGAAGAATAGTAAACAAAAGAGTAGGTGTTTAAAAACTTGAAGGCTTTAAAGACATAGGTGCATTACTTTTCCGTTGCCAGCTCTATTATGTCGCCAGAAGCCAGGAAAACAGGGGTGGAGTGGGTCAATAACCAATTAAATTCTGGACAAAAACAAAATCAAGTTCCCAAATCAAATTATTCAACCTAGAAAATGAACAACTCAATAACAATTAAAAATTGATCAAATATTCAACCTTTATTCATAAAAAATATGAACAATTAAGATCATTCAAACTTACAATTCTGTTTCCTAGCACAACATATTAATTCTTACATATATTCAAAGACAAAGAACTTCCTCAACTATTCAATGCACCTACGGTTTTTCTTATCTAATTTTGTTCAAAGGGTTTTCAAAGAAACACTTTTCAGACGCTTCCTAGGTTGAGTTTTTAAACGCTTGTACATGTCAGATTTTTGAATATCCATCTCTTCATCACCTAAAACATCACCAGCTTTTTTATTGTAAATTTTCCCAACAACATCACGTATTATGTTAGAAGCCTTCTCTGAATTGGACTTTCCAACACCGTAAAGTAGTATCTGATTATCTTTCTATGAAATTCTGCTCCCAAAATCATCACCTAACATATAATCTTGCTTTGAATTTGAGTTCCCAACATCATCAGCTGATATATCATCATCTTTCTCTGATTTTGACTTCTTAAATGGAGTAAACTTCTCTACCACTTTCTCAAGCTTGGCAATCGAAACCTCTTGGTCAACAATTATAGCACGCAAAGCTTCATTTTCTGCAACAATATCAGCCATAAATTGCCTATGCAAGTTCTCGTTCACTCTAGCATTATGATGACCATCTAAAGCTTCTTTAACTATTTCAGTAGACATCTCTTCTTTGGTTACATATACCCCAATAATGACCTATACAAAACAAAATAAGAACACAAATCATATTAAAATCTATAAAAATTACATAACAAGTAATTACTAGAAGGTATTTTAATCTCACTTCAATGGATAAAAAGGTTTTTTTAACTTCTGCTTCACCAACTTTAACATGTATCCAATGAAGGATTCTAGGTAAACAACTTTTTATTTTAGCCAACTTCTTCTGACCAAATAACACATGTTCCATTGCCTAGATTTGTCACTACAAAAATTTAGATTTTTACCAGGGGTTATTTTTTCCGTTTCCGGCGGTTTTAACCCCCGAAAAGTACGTTACCTGCGGTTAGAAAAACCGCTGGGAAAAGCTGCATTGCTAAGTAATTACCGACGATTTTTTGAAAAACCGCCGAAATTAGCGAGGGTTTTGAAAAACCGCCGGAAGTAGCGAGGGTTTTGGAAAAACCGCCGAAACTAGCGGAGGTTTTGTTGAAACCGCCGAAAATAACGGGGGTTTTGAGAAAACGGCCGGAACTAGCAGGGGTTTTTGAAATTTTTTCAAAAAACCGCCGAAAATGTGTACATATTCTTTTTTTAGTTTTTGACTGTAATAAAATGAGATTATAATAAAATTAGTTTTATTAACCAAACATAGAATAAAATAATATAAACTAAAACTGAATACTATATATAAAATAAACTATATTGTTCAAATTGTTCGACATATTAACATGTTCATACAACTAACTAATTATTGATATATTAAAAAGAAAATATTCAATACTAAATTAAAATATTAAAAATATGACTAAGATGTTCATTACATTACTAGAAAAACTTCTTCCTAATTTCTCATATGTATCAGTTCATCCTGTGTTTCCCAAACCCGAGAAAATATTCATTCATGTAGAGCATCATCTTCAGGTTTTCTTGTTGCATGTAACTTTGGCCACGATGACAAAGACAAAGGAACCTGCAAGTATGACAATGAAAGCATAACTAGTTTAGACCTTGAAGCTTGAAGCTTTTACATTTGATGGAACTAAGATACGAATATTATCTTGAAAATCACCTACTTTTAACGAATAAAATCATCATATACATATATCCACTTTACCACCCATTTACTCTTACCATATTCCCATTTTCCACACGATTACGATATTATAATAGAATATCTTAAATGACTATTGTTTCACTCATTCATGTAGAAATATAGTGCATCTATACTATAAAGGATACAATACTCAAATGAAAAATTTGCTTCTGTTTCGGGTATTTTGGGACTAAGTTACTAGCAACCTATCTACCACTCACCTTTGACCTGTATTTATAGTTTTTACTATGGGTCCGAAATTAGTGAAAAGTTAATCACGGCTCAAGTTTAAGCCAAATAGCTTCTAACAGCTGCTTACCTTAATCTTAACCTTTATTTTGGTTGATTTCTGGAATGGCCGGCCGGCCTTTAATTGTTAGGTCGGCCGACCCACTAAGGCGAGTTGGTTATTCAGATGATAGGCTGAATTTTAAGTGTTGCGCGAACCTGGGCGCCCGCCCATCCCTGTGGGACGTGACCGCCCGATCCCCATGTACGGTACATAAGCCCCCCAAGCCCTAGCACACTAAGTGTGCGTTGGGTTCAAGTAGGGCGTCCGTCCTGATCGTGGGGTGCGGAGGGCCGCTGAGTTGGTATTGGGCCTGGTCTGCTGGGCTTTGGAGCGCGATTTCGTAATCGAATTTTGGGCGGGAAAATACGTGTCGTGCATGTAGAGGCGGTATTCGAAACAACTTTTCATCTGGGGCGTTGATCGTGCTGGCTTTCAACGGCGCAGATGCTTCACGGTTACGGGATTTTTTCCTATAAATAGGAGAGGTGGTGCTGTCATTTTCACTTTCTCCGCTTTCGGTTTTCTTATCCTTGTTGCATTCTTTTTCCCTCAGGTAATAAATGGCGGTCGTCCATATTGATTCTTCGTTCGAGTCGTCAGGCGGAAATGGCAAGAGTTCGGCGGGGGTTGATGGCGGTTGTGATGATTCCTTGAGCTCGGTGTCGTCCTCGTTCTTGGAAGAGGTCCAATCCCCCGAAGGAGGAGCCGATTCTTCTAGGAGTGAGGATCGGATCATTTACGTGATCCCGATCTTCCTGCTTCAAGGGGGCGTCGAAATCGAAGGTTCTCCTTTTGAGCCGGACGGCGATCCTACCGACATGGTTGAATATGACTGGGCGCCTTACGGCCCGAGTTTGTTCGCCTCATCTTATGGGGACAGAGGGTTATTGGATTGGAGGGTCCAACGTCTCCACATCACCCGTGATGACGAGGATGCTAAGTTGATCCGGGCGGGAGTTGCCGTACGGAACGAGCGGGTGTACCACGGGAAGGGGTCGAGCCCGGACGACTTCTTCTATATGTATGCCAACGTGTTCTCCCAACTCTGTGTCCGAGTGCCTTTTACTAAGTTCCAGATGGTCGTCCTTAGGGAAATAAATGTAGCCCCGGCGCAGCTGCATCCTGACTCTTGGGCGGCCATCCAGGACTTCTTAGTGATGTGTCTGGCAGTAGGTGCCACTCCAACCATCCCGGTCTCCTTCCACTATTTTGAGGTCCGACCTCTACCGAGCGGTGGCTGGGTGTCCTTGACCTCCGTTCGAGAAAGGACACTCTTTCGTCCATTCTCGGATTCTTATAAGAATTTCAAGACCCAATTCTTCAAAATCATAATCAGTCCAGCCGGTCGCCATGAGTTTCACGACGCTGAGGGAAACCCTCCGTTCCCCTTCTATTGGACGGAGAAACCTTGCAGGATAAAGGCATATCCGGTGGGAGTGATGAATTCGGCCGACCTAGAGTCTGTGCGGGCCATCAACACCCTCCCTCGTCGCGTTTCCGCCCGACATTTAGTTGAATGCCTTCGTCATGAGGATTGTGAACGAAAGGCGTTCGGTATGGTATTTTTATGTTGAGTTCGTACTTGTTTAGTATATTGGCATTAACGTGGTTGAATTTTTTTGTTTCTTTCAGATCTCATGACTGCACCTGCCCCCATCAATCCAACTTCATGGCCTCTCGGAAAGGTGCCGGGGCCAGTTCATCCCCTGCCCGGGCGGCCCCGGCAGCGCGTCGTTCTCCTGTCGTTAGGAGATCTACTTTTGGCGGCCGCGACCCTCAAGTCAGTTTGGCCGCAACACCACCTCCGCCTCTTCCGGCTACCGTAGTGCCCCGGGGGGCCGCCCCTACACTCGGGGTCGTGACCGTGGCTTCAGAGTCGGCCACGACGTCTGTTGCCCCCCTGTTGAGAAAAAGAAAGGACCCACCGGCCGAGGGTCGGAAAGACAAGGAGGCGTCTTCGTCCCGGTCTGCCTCCAAAAAGGCAAAGAAGGGAAAAGAGAAGGTTCCCTCGGCACCACTTCCTGGCGGCGTATTTAGTCCGGCCTTTAGTATGAGCGACCAGACGCGCTTCCACATTAGCTCCTCTCAACGAGCATTGATCGAGCCGCTATCTGAGATGGAATTGACCAACGCCATGTTGGAGATGTCCACTAGGGCGGCCTCTCTTGCATGGTACTTGAGGGAGTTTGCGGACCGCCGCGGGGCCGATTCTTTCTAGGCGGAACTCATGGCGGAGAAGAAGAGCCACGCCTCGCTCCGGTCGGCTATGGACGAAATGCTGCTAACCCATGACGAGTATGATAAGAAGATTGAGCAACTGGAAGCAAGTTTGGGGAAGGCCCAGGAGGAGGCGGCCGAGGCGTTCGCCCTTCTGGCACGCGCTTGGAAGGATAAAGACCGGCTCACTGAAGAGTGTGGTCAGCTGAAGGTGGCGATCTCTCGCCACTAGAATGCCGAGAAAGGGCTTCTGAGTGCCAACCACGCCTTAACGGACGACCTTGCGAAGGCCAAAGAGAAGATCTTCGAACTGGAGGCAGATATTGTCTTCGAGCATGAGGAGGGCTTCAATAAGGCCCTTCAACAGGCGGCTGTTCTAGCGGGCATCGAGGAGCCTTTTGCCTTGGGCTTCAACATTGAAAAAGACGTCTTCGATGGCGTCTTAGTCGACCTTAACGCTCCGGCGGACGGCGAAGCGACAACAACCGAGGAGCCTCCAAAGCATAGGGCGGCCGATGATGTGGTCGTTGAGGACGTGAATGAGGAGGAGGACGACGATGATTGATCGCCTTGTTTTGCTTAGCGTAGGGGTTTTTTATTTTTACTTTTTGATGTATTTATGGACGGCCGTCCAACATCTTGAATTGTCGAGGTGTTGGCCGGGTCTTCCTTTTGCCTATTTTACAGGCATTCTTTTTGTATACCCTTTACATGAATACAAGTTTATTTCTTCATTATGACGGGCGTTCGCTTTTGTACGTTTATTATTTTTGCTTGAATACTTTATGTGTTACCTCGTTCAATTTGGGCTTTCGATTATTCGGACGGCAGTGGTTCTTCGGAAAGAACTCTTCGTTCACCGCCCGACCAAGTTGACAGTGGTTCCCTGGGTAACTCTTCGTTCATCAACTTGGGCTTTTGATGACTTCTTTTTTCCTAGCTTATGTTGAGTGGAAAGATGGGCGTCCTGCCATTGTATTAATCATGGAAAACGAACATACAACTTACAATTGTAATTCAACTAAAATAAAATTTTAAATGTGTGGCGTTCCAAGTGTTAGGAATCGGTCGTCCGTCTGTGTGCTGTAGGCGGTATGCTCCATTTCCCAGCGCTTCCACCACCCGGAAGGGTCCTTCCCAATTAGCCGCGAGTTTGCCATGGGTCGCCATTCGACGGGCTTCTCCGGCCTTTCTCCACACCAGATCCCCTCTTGGAAACTTCTCGGTCGAACCTTGGAGTTTTACTTCCTTTCCACCATGCGTTTACATGCCTCTGCCCTCAAGGCTGCCCGGTCTCTTCGTTCTTCCAGGGAGTCGAGTTCCACGCGTAACTCGTCATCGTTCAACCGGAGGTCCTCCACCCGCCGACGTAAGGACGACTCTCCTAGTTCGACCGGCAGCATGGCATCGGTGCCATACGTTAAGTTAAAAGGAGTCTTGCTGGTCGTTCCATGAGGTGTGCACCGGTAAGCCCACAGGACTTCCGGCAGTTCGTCGACCCATGCTCCCTTCTTCTCTCCTAGCCTCCTTTTGAGTTCGGCCACCACCGTCTTGTTCACAGCCTCCACCTGACCGTTCGTCTGCGGATGCTCCACTGAATTGGTGATATGCTTAATCCCCAAGTTTTTGTAAAACTCGGCCAGCTTTTTGTCGATAAATTGCCG